AAACTCTAATTAAAACGATGGACATTTTTGCAGAAAATAGATGTTGTATAAGTAAGATTCCCATGTATTTTATTTAAGTGATTTTAGTATATGTAATATTTAAAGAAAAATTGAGTTCCAAGTTCTATTCCTTACATCATACCATCTGTAACATGTCTTAGCATGATTATTAGGAAGAGACTTACTCATCACATCATATTTTGCATGTCTATCATTTTTCTGTGTCTGTGGATGTTTGAAAAAGAAATTAGTCTACTTTTCCTCATATTTTATTTATTCTGAGTCACTGAACTATACTTTACAGATCTGCCTTCATTAAAAGTCATTTTTAGACTGATTTTTTAATTATACAGAAAATACTGTGAATACTGATTTTAGATGATCAAATTAATAGTATGTAGAATAATATATTCTCAATGAAACTTCTGCTCATAATTCTATGTAATTCTTTCCCCTCTGAACGTGGCATAAGATGTACTGTAGTTAGAGATCTGAAGGAAGAAATGGACAGGACTTGAGTTAGGCCCCTTGAAGAGTCCATTTCCAATGACTGGTGAGAGAGAAGAGTGATTACTAATACAGATGCACTTGTAGTGGACATTCAGGCTTCACTAACAACTCTTCAGCCAGAGTTGTATTATGGACACAAATCTTGCCATCTCCAGTCCTTGTTTTGATTTTCTTGTTCTGACTTGTCTCAGAATTGTTTTGAACTAGGTTTATAAATAAGCATAATTGATCGATTAAAGTTGTCCAAAATTCCAAATTCCTTTACATTACTTTACATTTAATCTATGCATAATTTTTAGTGCATAGGATGCTAAACAATGCTAAATAATAGAAAATGCCATCTTCAGAAAAATTTCTGACAAAATGAGCTTGCCTAATTTCTGTATGGCCGTTGCTGCTGTAGCACCTCTCACACTGCTACTCTCCTTAATCTTTAAACTTGACCTGTGTTTGAATACTTCAAGTGTGTGTACATGCGGGGGGCGGGTGTAAAGACAAAAGAATAGAGGCAACAAACACAGGTCAAGCTTTTCTTTTTTTAATCATTTGACATGTTTATACTTATGGAATAATTTGGTAAATGAAATATGGGTAAATATTGACCATGGTCCTTAATACTGAAATGGATATGTTAACTATGCTGTGCCAGGTGTTGTGGCGCACACCTGTAATCTCAGAGCTCGGGATGGAGAGGCAGGAGGATCATTGGGTGCTCAAGGCCAGCCTGGGTTACAAAATGAGTTCCAGAGTAGCCTGAACTGCATAGTGAGACCCTGTCTCAAAAAGACATAATAATATGATGGATCAAAGGGGCATTAGATTTAATTATGCTACGGAAGATAGCACATGATTTAAACTTTATCATCTTTCATTTTTTAATTTTTAATTTAATGTTATGACACCTTTTTTTTTACAGGTCTAGTTTAAAGAGAGAGTTTAGTGTGTGTGAGACGTGCTATGGGGATGGCCACACTGAAATTCGGCAAGCTTATTTTGTCAGAAACTTTTCTGAATATAGTATTTTTTGTTATTAGCATTGATTACTTTCATAATTCCTACTTCTTTCTTTAAAAAAGATATAACAAATAAGTCCTTATAACACTGAAATATTATCAGACATGAATCATTTCCAACTATCTAATATGGACCTAAAGTTCTTTTATATGAAGCATTACTTATTTTCATATAATCATCCGTGTAACATAGCTACATTCAGATGGTCATTATTAGTATATCTCAAGGTATATAATTCAGCATCATTTTTGGCTAACTTTTTCTGGCTATGCATATCTTTTTCTTTCTATCCTTCACTGAACATTGTACCTAGATTATAAATCAGTCTATTTTCAAGTTCTTTACTACTTGTAATCTGGATCTTTTCTTCAGGCATTATAAAAAAATTCTATGCTGAAAAGAGGAGGCTTCTGTTCATTAATAACTTTTTTTACATTCAATCTATTTGATCTGTGAACAAGGATAAGTTTCCTTGACACATCACTTCACTTTCCATTTATTGTGACATCTAGAAGCTTTTGTGGACTTTTCCTTTTTCCAGGATCTTCACGTGACTTAATTCCACAATATATCAAATCCTTCTCAGTAGCCCGTCTAAAGTATATATAAAATCCTTTATTATTAAACATTGAAACAAAATAATCTATTAAATAGTAACCTAAGGAAATATTTTCCTTTTCTTGAAGATATGTTTTTATATTGATTTTTGTTTCAAGGCATAATTACTCAAAATATGTATTTTTCAACACTTTGAGTCTATAGTAGAGATAGTCATTGAGTTTTGTTTTTAAGGAAATAGTTTTGTACTAGAGTAGATTCAATTGCAAAAAATGTGTTGTTCCTTTAGTGTGATTTTCTTTAGACTGAAGCAAAATTCCATTATCTATGTGCATATTCTCTATAGTGGTCCTCATGCATTTAAGAGTGCAGTTTACTTTTCTAAACACAAATAAACATTCATGATCAAATTAATGTGTATTGTCCATTACATATTTTTAAATCAAATTGAGATTGGACAGGTACAATTTTTAAAGCAAATATAAATATGAATAACCTGATGAATATGTCCTTCAGTGAAGCAATTAAATTATGACACTGATGTATTTCTACTCTTTTGTCTTAGAAGTAAACTTGTCTCTTGATCTTTTAATTCCCAGATTATAAACACCTTGAGAAAGACTCTTCTTTGGCTGACTTGTACTTTTTTTCATTAGCTTACTTGTGCACAATGGATACACCTTTTGCGGTGTTTATTAGATATATTTTCTCCCACCTTGTTTATTGATCCTTTATCCACGCAATTTATATAGAGCTAACTTTCTGTTCACTACTGCTTCTCTTACTGCTAAAATTCATTTCAGATTTGCTTTTCTTATGCCATGGGTATCACATTCCTGAAATAGTCTGATTTTGCTACAACGCCTGTTTCTCTTCTCTGTACAATCACTGTGGTTTCTTCTTTGTTTTGTTTTTTGACAGTTCATCCTCTCTGTCGGTACAGCATAAATTCTGTGACAGTGCTGTCACTCTTTCGGTTTCAATAGCTCTTTCCCTTCAGTGACTTATTCTGTAGGCCATTGCACCACTACTCTTCTATACGTGTGAGGCTTCCAAGTGAAGAGTTTGCAACATCACCTTCGAACTTTGCACTAGAGGTTTGAGTTTTGCAAACGAAACTTTGCCCCTCTAAAAACTTGGCTCTATTTGTGATAATGTTTTATGCAATCGTATCTTCTCTTCCATTCTTAAGGAGATAGCAGAATTCATGGCTACATTTATTATTTGCAATTATTTGTTCAACTTTTCTTAACAAATCTTACTCTGAATATCTCTGCCTGTTTGCAGACAGGTATTGTCCTTGGCTTTAGCAAAAACAGGGACGCTACAAGTTCCACTTGTAACTGGTGGCCATGAGATTCAAGAGGCATCTCTGCTGTCTGGCAAGCCCACTGCACTTCCTAGTAACGCTCCAGTATTGCACTCTACTTTAAAACTTCAAATAATTCAAGCTCTCATCTCATGGTTAATGATATCTTCTTTTCATGTGGAATACAAAAGTAAATTTTAAAAATACTGATACATCAGGGACATAGGACATAAGGTTAAAGATGATGAATATCACTTACAGGTCTATAAATTGAAAACAGACAAAGAGAAAATTAACACAATTCAGTTTATATTAAATCAAGAAAAATAAAATTATTAAAATATATTTAGCAGACCAGGATTCATACAAAAAGCAATCTTAAGATATTGCTGGTAAAATTAAAATACTCTAAAATCAACTGTAGTGAGAGTAGTACAAGCTCTATAACAAGGTAAAAGCCATTTGACTGAATGCTTTAGAAGTGTGAGTGGTATGATAAATGAATTACATATAAATATGTTAAAAAAGAAGAAAGTCAGTGATAAAATATACAAAATATATTTAGATGGCAACATTTCAAAATTGATAAATATATGTAATGAAACTTCTCTAAAAACTTCAGATGCCCTTTTTGCAGAAATTGACAAGCTTATCTTAAAATTCAAATGGAAATAGGAGCAACTCAGAATAGCTCAATAATCTTAATAAAGAAAAAGAAAATTTAAGAATTTCCAACTTTCTGAATTTCTTTAAAGCTACAGCAATGAAGACAAGATGGGATCACTATAAAGGTAGACGTATAGGTGACATTTATGTACTATTCTATTACTTTTAGATTAATGGAACAAAATTAAAATTTTAGAAACAAATTCTTAAATTTGTATCTAATTTATTTAATGCAAAAATGATAAGACTATTCAGTAAAAGTAAGTTATTATTCAACAAGTTGTAATAAGATAACTGGTGACATGCAAAAGCATGAAATTCAACCGATAACTCATTACACACACACACACACACACACACACACACACACATACACACAGACACCTTAAGATGGATCAGTGAGCTTAATGTGAGAGATAAATTTCTGAAATTTGAAGAACATATAAGAGAAAAATATCCTTGTGACATTTTGATAGGCAATGGATTTTAGGTATTATAACAAAAATATACAGAAGTAACAACCTAAAATTGAACTAATTGAATATAGTAATATTCAAGAAACCATCAAGAAAATGAAGAGTTTACAAAGTGAAAGAAATTATTTGCAAGCGAAATGCTCAACAAGAACTTCTCTGTATGAAAGGTAAACAAAACATATCCTAAAAAATAACAACCTACTTAAAATAAAAATGAAAAAAAAATGATGTAAATGGACATCTATAGAAGAAAGGTAAGTAAATGACCAACAAGCACATGAAAAATGGTCACAACTAGAGACTATACTCATAAGTGAAATAAATCAGACCTGCATGTTCAAATACCACATTGTCTCACTAGTGTAAAACCTGAAAGAGTTAATTTAAGCTAGGAGGTATGATAGACATTGTGAAATGATAGGAAAACACTCAAGGGTAAAGGGCAACTGGGATGTGGGAAAAGAGAAGGGAAAGAAGGAGAAATTTTGTCTGTAAGTTTATACAGGATAATTAACATAGTTGTTCTACTGTCTTCTATTTCTTTGCTGAAAGAAACTGTCAGTGAGTCCTTGATTGATCAATATTGCATGTGTCTATCTGTTTTCATGAGAAACCACTTTGAAGATATCAATATGTAATACAACAAGCATTGTTAATTCCCTACTACTTTCTTTGTAACTCTGTATCGTCTGTACTGTTCTTTTGTTACTTTGTAAAATGTTGTCTGTCTGTTAATGTTTTCCTCCTTTTATTTTCAAAAGAAAAGAAAAGAAAAATGTTCAGTATTGATATTAGAGAATTGAAAGTTCATACCACAAAACCCTACTTGGTATGCGGTAATAGGTAAAGTTTAAAAAAAAAAAAGTAATAAGTGTTTTCTAAAATATGGAAATACACATGTTGCTGATCTGTTTTTTAAATGGACATATCACTTTGGTAAATGTTTGGCTTTTTCTCCAAATATTAAGCATATAATTCCACATCACATGAAAATTCCATTTCCAAATATATACCAAAGAGAAATGAAACCTATATCCACATAGGAAATTGAAAATGAACATTCATATTATCATATTTTATAACAGCTAAAGTATTGGAAATCAATAGATGAATGGATAAACAAAATATGCTCTATAAATACAACACATAATAAGACACCAATAGGATACACTCACTCATAAGATACAATGATGTATTGTTCATGCTGCAATAAGGACAAACTTTGAAAACATGTTATTAATTAAAGCAATCAAAAGATCATGTATATGTATGATTCCCATTGTATGTAATGTCTAGTATAGGTAAACCCACATAATCAGAAAGTAGATGAGTGCTTGTCAGGGCTTAAGGGGAAAATCATGAGTAACTGTTAATGATTGTGAAGTTTATTTTGGGAGTGATGAAAATGATCTAGAGTTAAACAATGAGATGTTTGTAAACTCTGTGTAATGCAGGAAAAGCTCCCTCCATTGTACATGGTGGCAAAGTGGATATTATGGCATTTGAAGTATCACTCAGTATCTTGTATTAAAATGACATACTTATGCAAAAGTATACCAAATCTATAGTTTACTATCTTTTTAAAAGTTTTGTTATTTTTAGGACATGTTAGTAGTAAGTAATACTTAATTGTTTTATTTTGTTTTGCTTGTTTTGTTTTGTTTGGGACAGTCTTCCTTGGTAGTGCAGCCTGGCTTTGAACAAGCTTACATCACACTTCTTCACTTCTTTTTTCAGCCCCTTTCCCCACCTCTCCCTAGTCGTCCATCCCATTCTCATTAGAGAAACATGTATGGAATTAATAAATAGAATATATTTCAAGTTAATAAGGCATTTAGTAGAATTCCAACACATTATTTTCAACAACATAGAAGTACAATAGTTAATGAACAGAGAGGTATCCTTGCTTTAAGAAAGAGGCATCAGTTGACTCGATTCTAAGTTCAAATATTGTTAATATTTCATTAATACTGTATTAAAGGTAGTTAAATGTGTGTATGTACAAATTTCATTTAGCTTGAGTAGGTAAGTTTTAAAGAATAGAACAAGACAATTAAATTTGATAATATTCTCCATGATGCTTAAATGAAACAACCAACTTGATTTCTAAAGACTGATGTAGTAATGTAATATGACTGTTTGAATGCCTGCCAAGACTAAGCTTCTTTCTTAATAACAGACATTGATTTAAAAAATATCTTTAACACTCCCATTATTATAACCCCCAGCAAAAATTGTGTATAGACGATGCAAAAACAGGTTTCTATCAGTCTGTTAACTGGTTTCAATCTTCCTCCAGCTTCCCCACATCACCCTTCCCTCCCTCTTCCTTCCCTGTCTCCATAGATAACCTCACAAAACCCAACTTCTTCCCTCCATTCCAGGAGTAAACTTGGCATCATAAAAATCTGTCTCTTTGCCTATTTTCTTTTGCTATATTTTCTTCTTCCTTTCTTTCTGAACAATGTTCTGTTCTTCCTTTTCTTTTCCTCATCTTCTACCTCTCAGATGACTAATTGTCATCAGAACCTACTCAGAGTCCTTCTGGCCTATTGAAAGGAGAAAAATGTGCAATTTCCAAAGGAAGTTTTAAATTATATGACTAATATAAAACTGGTTTTCTAGATGCTGATGTAATACATGATTATTGTTTCCTTGCCACATAGTGAACGGGAGTGACTATTATGCTAAGTAGGCTGAAGAATGATAATACCAAAGATATAAGAACACATCATAGTGAGAGAGAATCTAACTAAAGAGATAGACTCTGATGGATTTATTTCTACCCTAGCTGATTTTCAAACCAAAGTATAAAAGCAACAGAAACATAAAAACCAAATAAAAAGATGCCTCCCAAAACCATCAGTGCCTAAAAGAAAGAAATTATCAACCTAGACTTCTCTATCCTGCAATATTAGCCTTCAAATTTAAGAGAGAAAGAAACATTTAATCAAAAGAAGGAAAGTGATGAAAACAGGAAAATCACAGTGAACACTACCCAATCCAGGCAATAACCTTCTGTAAAATTTAACAAAATTTAATAAAATTTTAATAATATTTGAATGTATAATGGAGTTGATTGATACATCTTTCTAAAGTTAAGGATCACTTGAGTAAGATTTGGATAAAGAGTGAATAAAATGATAAAAAAATCTTTTCAAGTCAAAAGAAAAATGCTAAGATATTTAGCAAATGTTTCTGTCTCTGGTAAACTTATGGAAAACAGAGGTTAAAAATGAAAGAAACAGAGGTAGGCTGTTATTATACACACTGGACTCATACACACACATGCAGATATATATGTCAGTAAACAAAACCATATTCTTCATGTAAAATAAGTCTATTAAAGAAAATAAATGCATGGCTTTATTGAGGAGAAGATTGTGAGAAAGAAAAGGATAATTCATATAAAGAGCATTAAAAATTTAAACCTTGTTAAGGTTCATCATAAACAAATTATATTTTGGTATGTAGTCTGTGTATTTGTTTGTAGGTATATAATCTCAGAAGCAAATACACAGATATTTAATAAAAGATATGTGGGAAACATTTGCAAGATACATGGCAGAAAATCTGGCAATAAGAAGGAACATTTCTTTAGTGGATATTGTGTTTTGAAGGGAACATAGGGAAATGTGAAAGATTGGAAGAATTTTACCTTGATTTGACTAATTTAGAATGTGGGGTTACCTATCTTTACACTGTACGTATTTGCATCACGTTCTTGATTTGAGTGAATACAAATTATACTCATAAGTTTAAATATTAATAAGCTTTTAAAAATAAAAACAAAATGGATGAGAATCCTGGCAAATGGAAATATATGAGGACATATGTGCTACCAGTGAGTGGGGGGGGGGGGCAGCAAGCAATGTCATCTTCCATGGAGAGAAATCCCAATTTAGAAAGAGTGACTGGTAAGCCTAGAAATTAATACCACATCAGTGACAGCATTTTTAGTGCAATGCCAAGTATTTTTATCAATTTGTTTGTTTGCTTTCATTTTATAGGCCCTTGGAAACTCACTGAAGTGTTTGACCCGTGATATGGAATAAACAGTGCAATTGTTTAAGGTCGTTTTGACAATGATGGATGAATACAGGTGGTAAGAAAATACACACCAGTGAGAACAGGTGAGCAGCAAGACAAATGTTCTTATATTGTTCATGATGATGAAGACATTATTTTCTGTAGCACTTAGCATCTTTCTATCAACTGAAATGATTTCCTTTGTCAAATTGTGAGTGGCTTTAAAATTTCCTCTAAATTTCCATTTATCAGCAAACTTACAAATGGCATACTGATTGGTATTTCACTCAAGTCTCTAAGTCAAGGAAGGTAAATTGTCCCAATTTACTTGATGGGGACAACTGTCTTCATAATGATACAAAATAGTGCTGAACTTACAAAAACCCAGGTACACTTGTATTTTATGTTTGACTTATTATTCTGTGTTAATTTTTAAAGGAGAATAAACTAAGCTCATAAAATGAAAGGAACTGAACTGTTTAAGCTTCTTATGTTGATAAGTGCAAGCTAAAATAATTCCTTAAACTTTGCATGCTGAGTACTTTGCACAGACTAGACACACTCAAATATTTCAATGAAAATGAAGTTCACATTGTAATGATTGCCTATTTTGTGATTAAGATTGCACTTTTATTTTACATTTTAGTGTACACTGTATATCTTCCATGTTAACTGGTCAGATGGCTATCAGAAAATCATACACATTTCCAACATTCACATATCCATTTTTCACATTTTATGTCTAAATGATGTTCACAGTCAAATGCTTTAATAGCAGAAGCTGTTGAACATAGTTTTGATTCATGCCTTTTAATGAACAAGAATAAAAAATCAAAGTTCTTTTAAGGATTAGGCAAAGGATTGGGTATGTATTGCATTAGAAAAGTCTTATGTATTTGCATATAAAATGTAGGCAGTGCCATGATATGAAGAAATGTATGTTCTACCAAGAATTGCAAAATATTTCCAAGCTTGGGAATGCAAAAAATGGAAAGAGAACACCTAGTAGCAAAACTTTATCTATATTTATTTGCATTTAATATCCATATTAAAAGGAAGAATAGCGTTTTAATGTACTGTATTCTCAAAAGCAATAATTGCTGGTGACAGGTTTAGTAATGCTAATGTATATTTTGAAATTGAATTTGATGGTGATACTTATGGATTTTAGAGGCAATTTTTCTGTTTTACACTAACTTTATGGAGCAATAGAAAACTTAAATTCCTGTCTCTTTTTCAGCTCTGATGGGACAACTGTCTTGCTACTCTGCTCACATCAAACTCAAGACTTTTATTAGTGAAATCTTGATAATTTTTGCACTATTTTTCTTTCATCTAAATAAGAACTATAACAAAGATTGAAGATGGCTGTCCCTCGTGATGAGATTATGTGGATTTAAAAATGTTGCTGTCCTTTCTCAAATAAGCTGAAAACGTATTGAGTAAAGTTGAGGTCCAAAGCCAGTATGTCCAATGACTCATTGGTAAGTAGACTACAACATAATTTCAACATTTACAACTCCTTCCTCGACTCATTATTGGAATTTTTATACATAATTTTTCATCTTTTACTGACCCACATAATCCAGAATGCCCATATCTATGAAATTTATTTTGTCACAATCTGATATGATTCCCATTAATTGATTATTTCTATCTAAGGAAGAGAGCCCTAATTTTTTGTGCTTCATATATTTTAAGAAACTTTAACATACTAAGGAAGGATTATTTACTTCATAATACTCAAGTAACAAGTGGGTGCTAATCTGACAATAAGTATTAATTTGTTTGCTTAAATGCAAGATATTGAGAAATATCTGGGAGCATAATTAAATTTTCTTACATTTTTATGCCACATTCCTGCTTTATGTGTTAACATTAAATGAAAACTAGATTATTTTCGTATGGAAACTCTTGCCAGTCAGATAAACAGAATACTTGAAAATTGTTTTGCTTTTTATTACAACAGAGTAAAAATACAATCTTCCTTTGAATCTGGTGCTGTTCGTAGCACCATTCAAAAGATGTCATTCTCAATCTTTCTTTGTACAAAGACTTGGAAAAAATAATATACTCTTTGAAACAGATTTTGACTATACATTTAATAGCATTTAATATGAAAATGAAGATTTTACTGATTTAGGGGAGTTATTTTGATATTGGAAACAATGAGATTATTTTTATAACTTTACATACATAAAGAGTAATTGAATTAAATAATAAAAAATCGATACCTTAAAAATTAAGCCAAATATTAAAAACTTAGTGGATTTAAAAAGGAATCGATGAAAGAATGAGCTGATATTTAGTCATGTCTATGAAATGAAAAATAAAAGTATATACAGTTTATTTTTAGTCTTTCTCTCAAACTGAGCTTTATGTCCCATTTCTGAAATAAAAATAAAGATAAGAACACAAGGTTTACTGGGAATTTTACATTCTGCTTTCATACTTCAAGGAAAATTTGCAATAGTTTTAAGGGAGAATAATTTACAGTACTATAACCTCTATTTGTAGTAATTTGTTACAGTAACTAGAGGGCGTATGATATACAACCACCAAATAATCCAAATAATATAAGGGAAATATTATAACTCTCAGCGTGCTAGATGTCTGAAATGCTGAGTTCGTGTTCTCTGGAAATCCAGGAGTGAATTCTCGAAACAGCAGAGATTAAGAGTATGAAGAAATTCCTGAGAGGAAGCTTCTGTCTAAGAGGGACAGAGTGGGGGCTGGGGATTTAGCTCAGCAGCAAAAGCGCCTGCCTGGCATGCGCAAGGTAGTGAGTTCGGTTCCCGGTACCGGAGAAAAAAAAAAAAAAAAAAAAAAAAAAAAAAAAAAGAAAGAAAGAGGGACAGAGTGGGGCCCCGGAAGGTGGGTTCCCTCTAACCACACTTCTCAAGGTTGTTTTATTGAGCAAAGCCACCAAGTGAGGCAAGTCCAGTGTGAGACAGAACTAATCAAGCAACCAGATTACAAGTATAGTCACTTAGATAATATTGGCCCAATGGAAAATCGCAGGATGGGTGTGATGTGAGACAAAACTATGGTGAAGCAATAAGATTACAGGTATAGTTGCTTGGGTTATATTGGTTTAACGGGTATCAAATAGGGAAGCAAATCGTGCAGCAAATGCCTATGAATCATACAAGGACATTCCTGGAAGGTGTGCATTAAAGAGGTTTGGTCCTCTACCACAAGGTGCTTGATGCCTATTTAGAATATCAGTTGCTGCTCTTCATCCCAGGGGGAAGTATATGGGTGTAGTCATTCCTTTTTCTTGAAGCCTGGCCTACAGTGAATGTGCCTCCCACTACAGTTTTCTTCTGCACTGACCTTTTGAGGGCCTAGCCCTGTCTGACTGCCTGTGGTATTTCTAAATAACTTAGCTGTTTATTACAGAAACTAACAAAACTTCCATCAGAACAAGGCAGTCTTTGATTTGTAAGATTTATTTATTTAATATATTTTATATTTATTAATTTTTATGGAAGGGTGAAAATAACAAAATAAAATGGTGATATTTTTAAGAAAAATATAATTAAATGATTTATAATTAAAAATAAACTTTCTATACTATATCAGTTTTAATACACATTAACCTAATATGTTATGAAATACACTTTATTATCTACTGCAAAAAAAGGTTCAGTAAAGTACTAAAACTCTAAATGATTTGTGATAATTATAAGCCTCCCCAAAATATCTATTGTGTCATAATTCTAATACAATATCTGTGGAATTAATTCTTATACGTAGTTCACCCTGTATTATAGTTTGAAAGAGAATTTAAAAGTGTAAGTTCACACAGAACTTAAAAAGGTGTAATAAACTTTCCCTCAGTTCTAGGTAGCATACTACAATTTGAAGATGCAAAGATTACATAAACAGACAGATAGAACACGTGATCTTAGCCAGAAGGCAGAGACGCAATAGATACTTACATAGAAAGGGTAAGTGGTAAAGGCAGAATATTTCATTCATAAACTACTTATTTCTGTCAGGATAACTTAGTTGACATGGTGGTGTAATTTCACATGAGAGATTCTCAGAGTTTCTATACTATAATTCTTTGGATTTTCAAATATTTTCACTCAAGTAAACAATGTCATATATATTTCTGTTGATTAACTTTAAGCCAGTGGTGTGCTTATCAAGGGTTCTGGGGCCTGGGGATTTAGCGCAGCGGCACAGCGCCTGCCTGGCAAGTGCAAGGTCGTGAGATTGATTCCCGGTACCGGAAAAAAAAAAAAAAAAAAAAAAAAAAAAAAAAAAAAAAAAAAAACCCACAAAACAAAACACACACAAAAAAATCGTTCTAGTAGGTTTTGCGATTATATTAATTATACACTATCATCAGAGACTTCATATTATAACCTTTATTCATGGCAATCACCTTGTAAATTCCATACCAAAGGAATGATGGTTAATTATAAAGCAATACGCACTGAGGACCCAACCTAAATTGCAAAATATAACCAGATATACTTATCAGAGAAAAACAAAAAACCTAAGTGGTACCTACATCACTGAATGCAATTCTTAGAGACACAGAAAAAAAGTTTCCTCTATTATGTGATCTTCCAGAAAACACAAACACCTCAAAACCCTGTGGGAGTTGTCTGTGAATCACATAATAAATGGACCTTCATTATCCTATAACCCCTACATTAAGTATGCTTATTTGTTTTCCTCCTCAGTGTGTTTTCTGTTAGCTCTCCGTTGCAAAAAACCTCATACTGATTACTTGTTTTAGAGTAAAATATTGAGCTGAAAATATTGTCACAATCTACTCATGTTCCAGTTTGCTGCTGACTTCCATGCACTTGGCATATGTAATTGCCCAAATCCCATTCTAGACCTTATGAATGTCCTGCTGAACTAAACTGAATTTAAAATACAATGACTTCAAATAATGCTGTGACTCTATAAACAGGTTTATATCAACACCTTTAGTACTTGACAAACTATTTCCAATAGCTACTTATTTCATTAAAATAATTGACAATTTCATTTTTGTGACACCATGTTACTATGCTTAAAAGGATTTTAATTTCCATCTAATTTGAAACAATTATATATATGTATATATATTATATATATATTTGTTTCTTATTTTAATATTTCAGGCATATCTGTGTTCTGATTCTATAATTTTTACCCAAACTACACTTGCTCAAACTAAAAGCATACAACATTAAAAATAACAGTAGAAATGAGTACAAAAAAATCTCTGACAGAAATAGTAATAGTGTGTAGCACTGATTAATATTTTATGTTGTTCAAATATTTCAATTATTTTTCTGGTACCAAGAATCAAACTCAGGGCTTCACAGTGCCAGGCAGGCACTGTGCTACTGAGCAATATGACTTGAATATATCTGGCCCCTTGTTCAAATATTTTGAAACATTTCTCTAGTCTTTAACCTAATCTTTACAGTAACCATTGCATTAGTATACCTGAAAAACAAGTTTACCAATAAGAATTCTCAGGGGCTGGGGATTTAGCTCAGCGGCAAAGCGCCTGCCTGGCAAGCGCAAGGTCGTGAGTTCGGTTCCTGGTACCGGAGAAAAACCAAAAAACCAAGAAAAAAAAAAAAACAAACAAAAAAAAACAAACAAAAAAAAAGAATTCTCAAACTTATGTCTAAATTAGATAACTTGACTTATGGCAAAAATTAAATGGTATTTCAAATCCAGCAGTACACCCTCTTCTTTCCTGCTGTTACTGGAGAAATACATTCTATACAAATTAATCAATTAAGCAAACATTTGAAATGCATAACTATCTGAAACATTCATTTCTAAAATACTTATTCAGGTGATCCATTTGAGATCCTTCCTGTCTCTCAGGAGTTACTCCTATTCCCCATTTTTTTTTTCTCCAATAAATTTTCTTACTCTTAAAAAAATAAAATGTTTATACAAAATGAATAATAATCTCTTCTTTTGGATGGATTTTTTTTAACATACCTGTTACATGCAGTACTGTAATGGATATCAGAACATAAAACTATTGTGAAGTACATTCAGCAAAAATAATAATGCTGTATAAACAATGTGTACTATACCAAAAAAGACACTAAGTTTCTATAAACAAAACGCACAACTGCACACAAAAAAGGTCATAAGTCCAAAGAGAAGGCAGGGTCTCACTATGTAGTGCAGGTTTGTCTTGAACTTGCTTATGTGGCCCAGGCTGACCTTGAACACAAGGAGATCCTCCTGCCTCAGCCTCCCAAGTGCTGAGATTACAGGCATGCACCACTGCACCTGGCAAGGGCTTTGTCTTAACTACAAACAGTTGTTAAACACATAGGTTAAACAAGAACTATCTGTACTTGTTTTTTTCTTTTTAATTTTAAGGTATAGTTTTTCAACAAGAAGATTTTTACTGAAACTGACTAGAGCCAAAACTGAAATTTCGTGTGCAACAGTATAAAATATTCAGTGTGCAAAAAGTTCTTGCCTTGCATGCACAAGGCCCTGGGTTCAACCCTGAGCACCACAAAAACAAAGCAAAATGAAAACTTCTCAGTTTTAGAACTTTATTTCTAATATTTATAACAATAGTCCAAACTTTTCCAGAAATGTAGTCAATTTAAATGCATGCATTAGTAAAAAAGTATAACATTTTAAATTAGGCATATTTTGAGAACCATTTATCTTTTTCCTTGAAGTTTCTTATTATTGTGAACATTT